CCGTATCCCCACTGCCAGTGACGAAGCTAACAAAGCCTGGGCTGTGATTCGAAGTTTGACCGCCATCCCAACCCTTTACGAGGGCAGCTCCAATGGTGAAGAAAGCAGCTTGATATCACAGGCAATCAGACAAAACGTCAAGGGAACGTATATTCAACCCCTGGGATGCTTGCAGTGGGTTAACCTCGTCCTGCTGACAGTGTACCCAGCCGTACCCTGGCTGAGCAAAGTCATCATGAGCCGTCATGAGCTTCTGTTCTAGTCAGGTGTAGTGTTTTGATTGCGGTGTAGCGCAGCCAGGAATCCCGTCCTGGTGCTGATCATAGTGAAGCCTTTGATTGGACCAACCCTGGGGACAGAAAGGCTGCAGGGATGCGGCTGTGCAAGAAGTTCGATGCGTTGATCCATGGCTTCCACATGCAAGTGGAGCAGGAGGGCGTAGGGGACCAACCCGCTGTGGTACCAAAGCGCAAGGGCAGAAGATCGACGAAGAAGGTGACGGAGCCGGATGCAAACGCGCCCTTGAATCAGACAGCTGCTGAGGTTCGCATCGGCACGACCAAGCAGAGTGCTGTGCGCCAGGTCTTGATGTATGCATCGCCAGACAGTTACAAAGCTATGCTTCTGCATATCAGCGTTTGCGGTGGCCAGCACAAGTCGGCACTCTCCGATGCCGTCCTCAACACCAAGTGGCTATGGCCAGGGTCGACTCCGCCCCAGAGCCAAATTCCAAACGACCTGGAAGAGTTGGCGAGGCGCAGCTCTGCCAAGGCTTCAAACAAGATGCTGCCGCAAGGCCTTATGCATCCAGACTGAAATAGTGCTCCGTGCAATGACAGTGCTAGTGCTGGTCCTGTAGGTGTTTCTTGATCCTAAGTTAAGGTCTGTTGCACTGGACTTCAGCTCCCCGATGACGTGCAAGGAGCATCTGGTTGTGATCCAGAAGCTGATGAACATCTTCGAAGCCGATGTGGCCCTTAATCCGCAGAGCTTGCCCAAGGTCACTGCAGAGAACTTGAGCACATGCCGAATGGTGGGTTTGCACTGGGTAAGAACAATCCAGAAGCTACCTGGCTGCAATTTGTTCACACAGTCAGTTGACAACTCATTGAGCACGCCTTGTTCAGTTTGGCCCACCTAGGTGTGCCCAGGCAGATCTCAGCCACCAGCAGTACAATATGGTGGCAGAGTCTGTTTGCGCAGGTGATGCACTGGATGGGCAGGTTCTCGGCGCTTTGAAGCCCTTTCCGACAATGTTTGTGTTGAGCATGCTCCCAGACGTGACCTCCCTCAGCGACGAGGTCAGCCTGGCCAATGCGAACCAGGAGGATGCATTGGAAAAGGTCCAGGCAGAGGAGTGGAGGGCCAAGCTTCGGATATTCGAGCTGCACTTGGAGGAGGACCAACGGCTTCTTGGGAAGATTGCCGACGGACATGACGTGCTGCAGGATGCCCTGCATTTCCTGCAATGTCAGAAGCGCTTGAAGCAGGCAGAGACTGCTGAGAAGCTGGTTGACTTGTACCAACAGCGCAAAGTTCCCACAATTTCCATTGTCGAGCTGGCTGATCTTCCTGGCAAGCTGTCCGAGGTCAGCTTTCCTGAGGCCTAGTGTTGGTGTTTGTTTGCACCCTGAGATGTTAATCTTTTTCAAAGCGGGGAACCTCCGTGCTTCTTGGCAGGCAACCGCTTCTGCTGCGGGCCTGGGACTGTCTGCAGGCCAAGCCAGTGATGAGCGCAAGCTCACGGTCTTTCTGTTGGACTTCAACATTCCTGGAGTGTCAGACTTAGTTCGTGCAGATGCATAGCTGCTCACACCAGTCGTTTTTGTTGAGTTTTACCTGTTGGGCTCTGTCTATCTCAGGCCCGCAATTCCATTCTGCAGCCAAAGCTGGTGCAAGGGCTGGCCAATGCTTGCAAGACGCAAGGCGCTGCAGTCTCTTCAGCCAATGTCTCAGTCAGCAGCACTATGGCCCTTGATTGCTTGCGACAGGTGTGAACAACAGCATAGTCCTGGAAATTATTGCAAACCGGGCCAAAGAAGACAGCACATCGGATCCCTTGGAGGATCATATTGGATTTTGGAAGGCCATGAAGGCCGCTGGCTTTGGTGTCCACCGATCATGGCACCAGCCGTTGGCTGTTCCGGCCGAGGAGACGCCAGGCAGCAGCCATGAATGTGGTGCAATCATGTGTAAACATTGAGCACAGACAGTGATAGACAAGTGTTGGCTCCTGAGGTCCACCGACGTGGGGCAATGGGACTTTCATGCCCAGGGCATGCTGTACTGTCTGGGCCTGGACCAGAAGGATTGTCAGAACATCTGGCTTCGGCATTCGGAGCTAGCAAGAACTGGCAAGGTTCCAATCACGCAAGTGGCTGGCAACAATGACATCACACCCATCGTCGCGTCAGCAGGTGACACGGAGGACGGGCATACGATGAATGTGTGTTGCAGTTCTGGGATAGTTACTGCTTGTTAAGTGAGCGCTCGCCCTGATAGGCATTCAGTACATTTCGAATTTGCCCTCAGACGCGGTCCGCGCAGAAGGGGCCAGAAGTTTATGTGGCACTTTTCAAGCAGCTCTTGTCCACCTCTAAGCTCAGCGCTGCCAACTTTGCACTCTTTCGCGAGAAAGATGTCCTGACCATTGTTGACATGCACGTTCACTCGGGTGACCATGCGATGGCAACAATCATGCTTCAAGCAGAGAAGTCATCGCACCAGTTCATGCATGTCCTGGTCGAGATGGCAAACAAAACTGGCCTTGCGGCCGTGGCCTGGACAACTCAACGTGCTTCAGCTGCCTCAAGTCATCGAGTTTCTTGTGTTGCGTCCTCTGACTTGCTTGGCAACGAGCTGAGGCTTGGGTCAGTACCTGGTTCAGCGATGGCTGAAACACGAACTGGTGTTGAAGAATGAGAGCGGCACCACCGTTGCACCAACTGATGTGGAGAGCAATGAGCCTTGGCAGCAGTTTGGCAGACTGCAGAGACAATGCACGTAGTTGTCCTGTTTTGGATGGTCAATACCAAAGGCTCTCACGGACGAGGAGAAGACCCATCTCAAGAGCCTGGATGGCGTCTACGAGGCTTACGAAGGCGTCCATGGCTGGCAGTCTAGCCTGAAGGCTACCATGATCGTGGGAACAGCTGTTATGATCAACCCATCACGCTTGGGGGAGTTCTCAAGCTGTCCCCCCTCTGTGCGGGAACAGCTCGATCACTTGGTGCAAAAGCACAAGGACAAGTATGAGGGACTGCTGAAGAACAAAGCAGACTTCAGGCTGGCAAGTGGGCAGGGGTCGGAAAATCCCACAATTGTCACCGGCCAAGCAACAGTGGCAGAAGAGACCGCGAACCCAGTCTCACTGCCGAGCCTGGATTCGGAGCAGGCTCTCAGGGAAGTCCTTGGGGAGAAGTGTGTTGAAAGCAAGATTTTCGCTTCCACTGCCTGCAAGATCTTGTGCTCCGAGCAGGGGGACGCTTACTTGCTTCCCAAGGAGTCCTACACCATGCCGAAGAACACGGTGATTGCAGGCATCGGGGCAGGCAAGGTTGTGAACGAGCCTAGCGGCCCTGCTACAGGTGTAGAGCTGCAGTTCCCGCAGGGTGACAAGACCTACATCGAGGTCGCCTGTGGCAGCAGCGGTGGGACAGGCGACGATGACAACAACGTGAAGCTGAAGAAGGGCTCTGCATACATGGTCTTGAAGGACATCCAGGCATCGAACCCGCAAGCGCTGAAGGTGACAGGCTATGACATCAGCATCAGGCAGGTGCAGGGAAGCCATGGGTACAACTTGACTGCCATCGATGGAGAGCGGTGGTTCTTTGTCCCAAAGGACAAATCCGTCACAAACGTATCGTCCGGGAGTGCTGCCCGAACAGTTGCTCTGAAGCAAACACCGCTTCACGAAGCAGTCGCATGGTGCTGGAGGTTCCATCACGATGGGGTCTTTCAGAAGCTCACGGCAAAGAAGGCCTTCTTGGTTTGCACGCGCCCAATTGTCTTGACAAAGGGTGTGCCAGTGAAGCTGACAACGTCGAGTAGGCCGGACGCTTGAAGGTAGCACCAGTGAGTCAGGCCATTGGGCAAGCGCAGCCATCAACAGGGTTTCCTGAACGTTCACAGCCCCTCACTGTTGTTAAAGCTTTCTTTCGTGTTGTCCATCATGGCAATTTTGATTGCCCAGCGGCCTGCACGCGCACGCGCTACGGTTGAGGAACATGGCTGCCAAGCATGCAGTGGGCAAACCATCAGGCACTTAGCGTTATATTATAGCCAGCAAAAAGGGTTTCAGACCATCAATAAACAGGGTGGAGTTCCAACAGGAAGGATGCCCACACACAGTGCCGCTGCAGCTCCTTCGACTGCGAGAGAAGCAGTGAGGAAGGAGTCGATTCGACAAGCAATCTTGCACTGCCATTCTGGAAGGCTTTTCATGGGCACCCTTCTTGAGTAAACACAGAGAGAGAAAGAAAGAGGGAGAGTCCATTTCCAAGTGCAGGTGCGGTCATAACCTGTTGCTGCAACAAACACAATGGAAGGCCAAGAGTGCTTGTCGGGCTGCCTCGACTGCGTAGGGTTGCCACTTTTTGCACAAGGTATCTCTGTCAGCACAATTGGGCAAGCAATCATGCATTGTTCAAGAGTCCCAAAATCAGACATGCTATTTTTGTCAGGTGGTATGGCATGGCCCGTGCTGCTGAACTGCTTTAAACCATGTGGGACAGCCATTGTCACGCAATGGCAAGAGCAGAAAATGTTGCATACAGCTGCATTTGCTCCTAAGTAGCACACTGAAATTCTATGAAAGAAACCATGAGTCTGTTGGCTTGAGATCAGGTCTAGCGTTCCACTTGTGCAGCACAGAAGAAGGCTGGCTGATGCATTTGCCCTTGCCGATGCATTTGCCCTTTGTTAAAAGCAATGCCAATTGCCATCAGTGTCAAGGCTCAGGCTGTAACTTGTGAACCCCTCGTGCATCAACCAGCAATATGGCCGGTGCAGCTGCCTACCATTTCCTGATGTCTGGTCTGCCTGTCAGCCAGCCGCCTAGTGTTGAGCCTGCCAAGAGTCCGCATGATGATGATTTCGGGGAGTTGCAGCAATCTGCTCGCATGGAAGTGCAGTGGAACCCTACGCCTGCTGACCTCATGAATGCCGCAGATGAGCCGGTTGAGAAGATGACTCCTCCTGCCACAAGTTTGTGGATTATGTTGTCTCAGGCCAGACCTCTCAAGCCCAGTGCCAGGTCAGCGCCGTTGGATTCTTCCGGGGAAGATTACCCAGAGGTGCCGCCATTGTTGGCATTGGAGAATCGCAAGACGCTGTCGTTGGAGGACAAGCCAAGAGATGCTCCGAAGATGCTGGCATTGCAGGACAATACCCCAATTTCAATGGCTTTGGAAGATGGAATCCCAGGTGCACCAGAAGATGCACTCCCAGGTGCACCAGCAGCTGAGCTCTCCAAAGATGCCAGCCTAGCCTCATTGGACAAGACTTCGAAGCGTAAGACTGCAGAGCCAGCCATTCGGCAGCCTGTCAAGAAGCCGAAGCTGACTTTCGCATCCCGCTACTGTCCCGGGCCTGAGCTCGGAGCTGCAAAGTGGCGCGCAGCAAGAGATGGATTCGAGACCATCCGCGAAAGGCTGAAGAGCCCCAGCAAAGCTGAGGACAAATTCTTCAAGTTTTGCAACTCCAAGTGGGCAGGAGAGAACGACCTTGATGTTATCAAGAAGTCAGCTGAAGAGCTGGCCACTCAGTTTTTGCAGCAGCTGCCGGGAAAGTGAGCAGATGTTACCTGCGCACTATCCTCGCACGGGTCATTGCTGCTTGGGGTCTGTTGCTGACAGACATAGTCCACATGTGACCAGGGTCTGCAGTGTCATTAGCTTTCACAGTTTGCTCTCCTCTGTACCATTTCTGGGGCCGTCTTTGCAGATGTCAAAAAGGGAGGAGCAGCAGAGAGCAGGTTTTCAAGGTGAAGTGCAAGTTGCTTGAACGTCTTTGCTGTCAGGCTGCAATGCGATCCAGGCCCGGAGCCCAGTCCATCACTTGGGTTGGTCAAGAGATTGACTTTCCTTTTGCCTTGATGCTGAAAGCCAGAGCCCAACATTCTTTATCAAGCAGCAGTGAGAAAGTACTCCTGTGAAGCTGCGATGTCTCCTGCCTAAGCCTGGAACCAAGTCTATAGCAAGTGTTGTTGTCAAGAGCATGGCATTCAATTCCTGACCTGACAATGCACAGATGGGCTCGTGGTTTCAGCTGTGAGTTTGATGAAAAAGTGGACAGAATCGCCATGGCAGACTGCAGCTCGGATACCGACACAGAGGCATCAGAGCAGGAGGCAGCTGCAGTTTCAGAAGGGCCGGCAAAGCCTGGGGCACGTGGGCGTGGTGGCTCCAGAGGCTGCTCCAGGGGCCGAGGTTGCTCACGTGGCCGCCCTGCCGCACGGCAAAATGAAAGGGGCAGTGTCCAAGTGAGAGGTGCCAGTGAGTCTGGAACTTCCACTTCTGAGTCACCAGAGACCCAGCGGATCAATGCTGCTAAAGCTCGGTTGGGCACCAGAGAAGGCAATGAGAGCAAGGCCAGCAAGGCCAGAGCAAGTAAGGACCTTGACGAGGCGAGCACTGACAGCTCTTTGGAAGAAGCAGCCACACCTGTGCGCGGTTCAGGGCTTTATGAGTTCGCAGCAAATGTTTTCCAAGACATCCTCTCAGAAGAAGAACTCCACCGTCTCAAGCAGCTGCACAGCTCCCAAACTCGTCTTCTGGGCGAGTTTTGTGCTGGCATGGGCTCCAGCAGCATGTCTTGGCGCGTGCTTGCAGATACTCTTCAAAGCTGCTTTGGCATCACCTTCTCACTGCAGACCAGCTTCTTCACCGAGTTCGTCAGTTGGAAGAACAAGGTGTGCATGGAAGTCATCACCGCTGCACACGGCGTGCGTCACAAACCACAAGGCTGGCTCGCAACCAAGGATTTGGTCTCCGAGCCACATCCTCCTCGTTGCCACATCGCAACTCTGGGCATCGAATGCGATGACATCAGTGGCTGCTCGAGCACACCCAGGTCAGTGCTAGATTCCCAGGGACGCTCAGGTCAGAGCTTTTTGCAGGTCCTGTCGTATTTGGACAAGGTCCCTTTCTCTGAGAGGCCTCAGTGCCTGCTCCTGGAGTGCGTGGCGAACCTGGGTAAGAAGAGAAAGTCAGTCCAGGAGAAGGGCACCGAGGCAGTTGCAGATCAGCTCCAGGAACGTGGCTATTTGGGCACCGGCAGGAGTTGAACACGAAGAATTTTGGAGCTCCTAAGCGTCGAAAGAGTGAGCTTCAGTTTCAGCGCAGCTTGTTGTTTTGCACCAAGCATTTTTGAGTAAATGGAGTTTGCGAAACACCAAGGTTCCACAGTCACGCCCGAGGTGCTATGGTATCTTCATGAAGTTGGCCGCTTTCGGAGAGACTGGGAAAGCCGCTCAGGTAGGACGGCTGGATGCAATGTGGGCCTTTGTCAAGCGTTGCCAGACCAAGCAGGCCGAGCCACTGCTGCAGATCTTGGAGAAGTGTTTGGAGAACCCCGATGAAGTTCTGCTGAAGAAAGTCAAGAGGCAGTCAGATGGACAGAAGTGGAAGCAAGTGCACGAAGCTTTCAAGAAGCAGCACAGCATCAAGGACGCCGATGAGCACCCATTGCTGGTTGGGCTTCGCCAACAAGCTTCGCGTTTGCCAGCGTGCCTTACCTGAAATTTCAATTTCACAGGGGATCTAGTACGACCTCCTGAAATAATCTTCCAGCTCAGGACAGAGAGGGAGCTGGACGCAGCCCGATTGACTTTGGCATTGTCTTTGCAGCGTGGCCGACGTCTTGATGATCGGTGCTTGGCTGGTGATGTTGGCAGCTTCTCGGCAAAAATGTATTCGGTCCAACTCAACAGCTCAGAGCAGCCCCCCAAAAACCCCTGTGGTTTTAGCCGAGGTTCTCTCGGACGACTACGCTTTCGGTCTGGGCTGCATCCGTGCTTGTTACCGCACAAGAAATTCCTCTACAAGTGTCACGACACTTGGATATGTGGCTGCAGCAGCTCTTTGGCATTCGCTTTGCAAGGGCTAGGTCCGCGGGAAATAGCTCGGTTCCAGCTGGAGAAAATCTCAGACAGTTCTGCTCAAGATCTATGTGGCAATGCCTTCTCTGCACCGATCATTTTTGCTTTGCTTGTAGCAGTTCTGCTGCAGTATGATGAATGAGAGCAGTACTGAAGCTTCAGAGAAGCTCAGGGGCGTCCTGATTTTAAGTCTTGAGTGAAGTGCAAGCAACAGGGCAGCTTGGAAGAATAAATGCATGAGTGTGCTGCTTGGACATGTCTGCTCGACAGTGATGTAGTCTCACCATGCACTGAAGCCACCCCAGCTCTGTTGACTTTGACGGGCACAAGGATGTCGCATTGAAGGCCAGTTCATTGCCTGCCTGAGGTTTCTTCTTTTTCATCTGCGCCGAGGCTCATTGTTGTGGGAGGCAGTCCATAGCATTTGAATCACGAGCTGCATGATCCTGTGTTTGCCTCGCAGCCACGACTAGGTTTCTTTTGCTATGATTTGTCTCTTCTCGCAGTTGCTTGATCAGAATTAATTAAAACCATGGTCATGATATTGTTACAGCTTCTCATGTCATGCTTGTTTGATTGGCGGCACAAACCAATCATAATACTAACTTGGGTTGTTTGGACACTGCAAATGGATGGCTGCGACACCGATACAGAAAGGAGTGCGTCTCCTCTGGGCAAGCCACGAAGGCAAGTACAGAAGCCTGTGAATGCTGCAGGTAGGAAGCCACAGGTAGCTAAAAATGTTGCGAGTGCTGCAGAGCTGAAGGTTGGTAATTCTGAGCGGTTTGTGGAGCAGTTTGCAACAAAGCTACAAGCCGCACAGGCTGTTGGACGAGGCTGCGCGTGGTGTGGCTTCCAATGCTTCACAAAGCTTCAGCAATATTTGTCAGATCTGCTGGGTTGGCGAAAGCAATTCCGTGACTTGACTGTGGAGGCTGCAGATCGTGAACTCCTTTGGTTGTTTCGAAGGAGCGGTTCAAGCTCGGCGCTTGGCAAGCACAGGAACCATGGGGCAGGCAAGGCCGACGGCCACAGAGACCAGCAGCTGGAATCCAGCACGGAAACAGAACAGTCAGAACAAGACATCGCCAGCAGATCCAGGCCAAGGAAGTGCTTGAAATTGACAAGAGAGAGTTCTGGCACTGGGACTGAGCACTCAGAAGAACAGCCTGCAGGTGCGCAAGAAAAGGTGGATGTTCAGCTTTCTGGAACCAGCACTTCCAGTGAAACTGCAGACTCTGGTCACTTGGACTTGCGTTCGCCCCAGTCCTCTACGGTTTCAGTTGCAAAGGCAAAGGCAAAGGCGCACGTGCGGCAGTATGCTACACGAGTGGGCGCTAAGCAGCCATCTGTCCCCTTGCAGCGCATCCTGCCATCTGCTACAGAAGACTGTATGGTTTGCCGTCAAAGTGGTATGTTTTTCCTTGGAATCGGGAGGACCAGATTGCAACGAGCGGCTTGGTCAATTCTCAGCGAACCCATTTCTGGCTTGGACTGGTTGTGAATGAAGTGTGGGGGTCTTCTTCATTTCTTTCCGATGTTGTGCTATCATGGCATAACGTGTGTGTAAATATGTATATATGCATATGTGTATTCATCGCCCTTAAAATTTGTTTCTTCTCACTGCGGCCTGCCAGGTCTTGCGTGGCTTGCCTGACACGAGAAAGCAGGGACATCGGTTGCCGCGCCCTCATGCGTCCAGCCAATTGGATATCTGCAACCGGTTCTTGCAGGAGCGATACCATTACGATGGTGAGTTTCTGCCCGACAGGTTTGAGTTCGATCCGACCCTGGGTAGCCGTTGTTTGTATGTGGGATGCAGCGAGGCAAGCCACAGTGCCAGGCAGGCTGCAGAAGATGATTCTTCAGAGTCCTCCAGTGACAAGGAGAAATTGTCAAGAGAGGAGCTGGATGAGCAAGACTCCAGGGCCCTCAGTGCACTAGCCATCAAAGCAGTGGTTATGAACAACCCCTTTTCCAATGCAGCTGTCGGTCCTGGCCTTGCTCCAGGGCCACGGCGGTATTTAGGTGTCATGAAAGCCAACATGCTTTTCGAGATGCTGCGGCGCTGGTGCTCCCAAAGCTGTTTGTCCCCGGCCCCTTCTTGGACGACGTTTAGACGAGCCCTGACACAAGCAAGACCATGGCTTCGCTTCAGGAAGTCCCAAGGACAGCATGGGAACTGTGACTCCTGCACATGGTTCAAACAACAGCTGAGAGCATGTCACAATTTGGGACAGCGGGCCCAGTTGGTGGAACAGTATGCAGAACACCTATTGCAAAACTGGCGTGATCGCCAAGCAGATGCAGTATTCCACGCACAGTCGGTGCAAGGAAGATCGGCAGCCATGAAGCTTGGCAAGACTTAAGGTTGCCAATTGATGCTAGGAAGCCTAGACAGCCAACCCTAACCAGGCTAAATTAGCTAACATGGCAGAGGCCTCAGTGAATTTGTGTGTGATTTGCAGATACGAGGAACCCGAACGTCCGTGTGGGCGATCTGGCTCATTCCGTTCTACTTGTCCGAAGTGACGGACTCGACCAGGCAAAACACCGAGTGCCACGGACACTCTACAAGACCAAGAGCCTGGAGGCTGTGATACGGCCTGCGCTGCACGTGCAAATGCTGTGGTGTCATGGCTACGATGTCTGTTTCAATATCAGCGACGCTGACTTCCGCAAGGATACAGTGAA